TCAGGCAAACAAACTCACTAGTTTCCCGTACAATCATTATAGGCTGATTCTAATCAAGTGCTGAGCAACCCAGCGCTGGTGAACATCAAGCTACCAAATCACAGTTGCCATAATTTTTCACTCGTTTGGCTGTTTTCATCGGACAATTTTCACTCTTTTTGCTTCTTTGGTAATAAACAGAAATTGGATCACTAACTATATTATCCTGAAATTTCTTCAATATCGTTGGTATTCGAAATGAACACAATTCCTTTGATGAACGGTATTATTTCAATGCAAGTATTTGGCTTTGGAACGCAATATGAAAAGAGTCCGATTCATAAACTTGAGAGATTCCAAAAAAAAATCTAGCAAAGCACTTCCAAATACCTCAAAGAACCAATACTGTTCTCTATGTCCCTCTCTCTTTTCATCCAAGCCTATAATGGAAGCACTCACCAGGGGCTGATTGAGGAGTGGCGTCATTTCGCCGTTCAGGAGAATCGTTAGTGTCTTCTTGGTGGAGACCCATTTCTTTCTTCAACTCTTCTGCAATGAGAAAACCACGTCAATAGTGCAAAATCAAGCAAGAATCTATGATGAAAATGTGATTTTGATTTTCATGACGAATTTCAGCATAATACATTTCAAATTCGGCAGCGGTACTTTCAATTTCCTCAGCGCTCCTATCTCCTCAACATTTTTATTGTCATTATATCAATACATTCAATGTCTGCAGGTGACTTTCGATTTCGGCACCCATTGTTTTAATTTCGGCAGCACAAGGGAATCTACTGTTTCTGGTAATGAACATGGGGGTGGGGAGTGTGGAAGGAAAGGGCACCAGCGCATAGGGTATTTCCAGTGAATAAACAGTTTTTCTCACATGGTGGAAAACACATGGACACTGATACTGTTTCTATTCCTCAATATGTTCTCTCCCTTGGGATCTGATCAAGAATGTTTGTGCATGGTGAAACCACGCAAAGCACTTCTGCTGGGTTATTGAGCCCCGTATGAGCGTTTGCCATTATCGACATTTCAAGAAACATGAGCTGCATCTTTCTGAAACACGGGTAGAATTTGGGCGACGAAGACCATACACAAAACTTGCAGGAAAGTCTTATGAAGGCGCTGCTCGAAATAGGAGATGCAGCAGTTTGACAAATAATATATCAGAAGTACTTTGCATGGTTTCACCATACACAAACATCCATACATACATACAAACATGCATACACACATACGTAAATAAAGGAGTAAATAAATCAGTAACGTGGATCATCGTTTAGGGAACAAATGTACTTGCTGAAGGTTTTGGAAGAAAGCAGCCTAAAAACAATTATTGCAGGCATCACTAACATCATGTGATATTCTTGGAAAATGTATTGACCCGATTTAAAAGTATAGCTAACGTGCCATGTCCCAGGTACCACTAATCGAAATATGTTAATAAAAGGCTACGGGAATAAAATATACTCATTGCAACATACAACGCTTTATGGAAGCATGGGAATGAAGTATTGGTGGATAAACTGAGGCACGCACATTACAACTACTACTCAGCTGGAAATCTGAGATCTGGAAGGTTCAAAGCTTACTGACAATTTTCCAAACACCTCAGAGGAAGGGGAAAAAAAGAAATGGCCATTGGTAACATTGTTATAGATTCGAATGAGTTCCTGTAAGAAGTAGCCTATAAGCCCTATAAGAAGTGAGCAATACAAGAGGAACAAAGCCCCATTCCATTGATTTTCATTTAGATATATCTGTGACGGTTACAAAAAAAAACTTAATTCTTATAGATTTTTGGCCGGAATTTGGTGATAAAAATTTAATAAGTGTACATCCCAGAACAAGTAACAATTTTTTACCTGGGGCTTGTACAAGCAGGTGACTGGCATTCCTATTGGTTGATAGCAGAAAGTAGTGTTAGGCCCTGATTTATATGCATCAGCGTATAAAGTGCCGCATGTCCAATGCTGAGACGCGTGCGAACACTTAGTGCGGCTGCAGCAATACTGCAGCTGATACGGTTTACCAATAGCACATTAGCATACCTTGCAAGAAATTCCTGATATCCTTTCTTCCCATGTCCTCCAGTGCCTCGTAGAACTTGGGGATGCATTCTTCTGGGTCTTTCATGAAGAGGATGTCAAAGAGTTCTGCATATTGTTCACGAAGGTATGGCTTCATACGAATATCTCGATCTTCCACGAATGTGATAACATTCTTGTCACTTAACGCGCGTCGCAACTCAACTGGATCGAGGTTGAAAACATCCCTTAGCTTCGGCCTGTTTTTTTTTATCGTTTCCCACGATAACATCCGTTCTGTGTAGAAATAAGAACTCTAATAATTCCAATGTACAATGATGACATGAATTGAACTGTTTCCTCCTCTTGACTTTGTGCTGCCATAACTCTTAAAAACACGACATGGTACTTGATTTTCAATACCTTTCACGATAGCAATGGCTTCTCTCTTTTTTGCTTGACATCACTTTCTCTTCAAGTGAATGAATGTAGTCGATGAAAATATCCCTGAAGAGGTTCTTCAGAAGTTTGTGATATTATTCTAGCTCTAATATAGGCTCAGCTCCTCGGTTTACACTTTATTTTTTTATTACTCAAGGTGCTCACCAATCGCTGCTCAGAGACATCTAGGGTGAGCGGAAATTCGGTTCTCATGGTGATGAATACGCTTGGATATGATTGACTTACGCATAACATCGTGTACAGCTCTGAGAGACAATTCTAGCTCTTTAGCGCAAGACTAAGTTCATTCAATTGAATAAAAAATGATTTATTTGAATATTATATATTTTAAATATAGTACTAGTAGGTCTCTAAGAATCGTATTTTATCAGTGAGTTAGACTCTGCATCCTTTGTCGTTTCTGTATCTAAATGTAGCTATTATTTCGAAACGGATTGCATCAGACATGAATTCCCTTCCTGGGCTATTCCTTTGCGGTATCTGTTCCCTCACTTCTCACTATTGATTAGAGATGGTTGCATAATTTCCTATACAATCATTATAGGCTACTTCTAATCAAGTGCTCAAGAGCCCAACGATGGTGAACGTCAAGCTACGAAATAACAGTTGGCATAGTTGTTCACACGTTTTACTCTTTCCATCAGACAATTTTCAATGTTTTTGCTTCTTCGGTAATACCCAGAAATGGGATCACTAACGATATTATTCTGAAATTCCTTCAATATCGTTGGTATTTGAAATGAACTCAATTCCTTGGACGAGCTGTATCATTTCAATGAAAGCATTTGGCTTTGGAACGCAATATAAAAAGNCTTGGACGAGCTGTATCATTTTAATGAAAGCATTTGGCTTTGGAACGCAATATAAGAAGAGTCCGATTCATAATCGTGAGAGAATGCAACAAAAATTTTTGCAAAGCACTTGCAAATAGCTCAAAGAGCCAAAACTGTTCTCTATATCCCTCTCTCTTTTCATCCAAGCCTATAATGGAAGCACTAACCAGGGGCTGATTGAGGAGTGTCGTCATTTCGCCGTTCAGGAGAATTGTTAGTGTCTTCTTGGTGGAGACCCATGGCTTTCTTCAACTCTTCTGCAATGACAAAACCACGTCAACAGTACAAAATCAAGCAAAAATCTATTATGAAAATGTGATTTTTGTTTTCATGACGAATTTTCTGCATAAGTTATTTTAACTTCGGCAGCGGTCCTTTCAATTTCTTCAGCGCTCCTGTCTGCTCAACATTTTTATATTCATTGTCGGCAGGTGACTTGATTTCGGGACCCGTTGTCTTAATTTTAGCAGCACAAGGGAATCTACTGTTTTTGGTAAAGATGGGCGTGGGGAGTGTGGAAGAAAAGCGCACCAGCGCATAGGGTATTTCCAGTGAATCATCATTATTTTCTCACGCGAAGGAAAACACATGGACATTGCTACTGGTTCTAGTCATCAGTAAGTTCTCTCCTTTGGGATCTGATCTGATTGGGATCTGAAGTTTGTGCATGGTGAAACCACGCAAAGAACTTCTGATGGGTTATTGAGCCCCGTATGAGCGTTTGCCATTTTCGACATTTCAAGAAACATGAGCTGCATCAGAAGTACTTTGCGTGGTTTAACCATGCACAAACATGCATACACAAACATACAAACGTAGTAAAATATTCATTATTCGCCGACATAGCTCTATGTGCTCGTGCTCTTTCTTTCCCTAATTCACATACAAGTTAAATATCCAAAACAAGATCCCCTTGTGCTGCCAAAGTTTAACCGGCGTAGGCCGAATTCGAAAGTCACCTGTCGAAATTGAATTAATTCAATAAACTTAACTTTATTTTTAACCAAAATCATTTCGGAATCATGCAATTCCTGAACAATGGACACTTTTCTGGTAATTTGTAATACAAAAACATGGAATCCTTAGTGACAGCATTGTCGAACCAGTGGGCTTGTATTCATTTTTGAGAAAAGCTATGGACATTTCTAAAAATAAAGATCACCAGACAATGGTTCGCATCAATTCAGTTGATGTTCTTAGATTCCCTATAAAAAGTCAACATTACAACAAGCAAAAGGCGCTTCCATCTTCTTTTCCATCTTGAATAACGTGGCTGCCTCGAGTTATGCAGATAAACTTGCAAAAGAAAGGTTTCGCTTACCTTCGATGGGATGGGATTCAACAGCCTTTTAGAACATAATTGTTCACATTGGGGAAAGGACTTGGAGGAACTGAAGTAGAACATCAACTTGATATGGCCTGGTTTTTGTTTTGGCCTGACTGCAAGTCTTATCCATACATGTGTATTTGTGTACATGCAGACAAAAGCCGCTATTTCATAGGGTACATGAGGAATGTATCGAATTTATGCAGTCACCCATTCTCTCTTTGATATTCCGAATATACCTTTAGGGAATATCTTTTGGGTGCCAAGAATATCTAAGAATATTTTTCCCAGAGAAAAATGGAAACATAGAAAGACAAAATTCAGTACTTGGGCTGTTGGCCACATTCAGATTACATGGTATTTCTAACTTCCAGGTTCATTCCGAAAGGGATGCGTCTTGAAATAAATATTTTAGTTTCATGGAAGCGTGCCAAAATTGAAAGTGAAAAAATTAATTTCACACAATTCGAAGTAACTTCTGGTCTCAATGGAAAATTTTCATGCCTCAAGGAATTGTACAACATTGTAGGTGTGAGAATGAAGACAGATTATTAAAATACTTTAGAAACCACCTGCCTGCTGTCGCTATGCTGGCCGTCTGATGGGCAGATATTTCAAAATGTTTACATAAAGATCTGAAGCAGTTTGGTTGAAACCAGACGTTAAACATATCCAAACAAAGCTCGGAAGTTCGAAAATGTTGCCACCCATCTAATTTTATTATCATTGAGAGCACACCTCACAAATAAATCACGAATGAAGGAATGAGTTATGAATGAAAGAGGCCACGTCAAAAAGGCCTTTTCGTTGTGGCAGCACCAGTGAAACCAATGCCCCCTTTTCTGCAGCAAAATGTATAGCCTGACCGCGATCGTTGCGGCGTGCAACAGTCATTCGACCCATGCCATGATGCTGGGCTGGAATAGTGTTAAACCCCCGAATCGGGGGTCTCGTTCAAGAGTAGGTCGAGCTGGACGCTTGCGCGCCGCGTCCCTTGCCTGCAGTTCCTCTGCGCCGTTATCCATGGTACTTCAGGGAGGAGCCAGGGTACCTTCTTCAAAATGCAGGATTCGGATTGGATAAGGGACGAGGACAACTTATGAACCCATTGGCTAATTTGGAGGTCCCCTCTGCTTAACACGTTCGCTGCCGCATGACGCGCATGCGCGTCATGCGGCTCGTGCTCTTGGAGCCGGATGACGCGCATGTGCGTCACCCAGTCTTGTCAGTTTTGCCTGTCTGAACTGGTCGACAATGGTTGTATTCCTTGTCGCTTCAGTGGCACTTGGACTGAGGTTAAAGTTATTTGTGTGTGAGCTTGGTTTTCATCCCAGTGGTTTTCACAGTGTGGTATCATGGGTGATAAAATTGACATGATTCCGGATCCTTCGCGGCCAAAGCTACCACGACATGATGCAGAGAGAGCGTACAAGGAAGATGAAATTGCTGATCTATTAGAAGCAATATCCTTCTATTCTGACAGTGACCTCAACAGTTCTAGTGATAGTGTTAGCACCAGTGAATCTGACAATGAAAATGGCTCTTCTACCAGTGAATTACTTTACACCTGCCCGATCCTGAAGCCCTTCTTGGTCGGATGGATCTCCTTTGATGAAAAAAATTAATTTTACTGGTGTGCCTGGGCTGAAAACTGAAGTTGGTGGCAATGAACCAATAGATTTCTTCAACATGTTTGCCTGTGACAAGTTTTATGATCTTGTAAGAGAAACTAATATGTATGCTGAGGAAGTATATCTTGCTGGAGTTGAGAAGCAGTCAAGGATAAATTATTGGAAAGATGTTACGGTAGCTGAAATGAAAGTCTTTTTGGGTCTTCTATTTCATATGGGCACAATCCAAATGCCTCATCTGCAGGATTACTGGAAAATTGACCCACTCTTCAAAATGGAGTGTTTCTCTTTTCTAGCTTGTGACACTAAATTTATAGGCTGCAAAACTTGGGAGAACATTGGATGTAGAGATTCAGTATAACAATTTTAACTGACAAGTTTGTGAGACTTGCACAGGTTAACAATTATCCCAACTTCAGTCTTTTTTCCGAGATTCACACAGATAACATTTTGTGATAAGCTGGAACATATTAGGTAAGTTTGAAATGAAAAATTTAAGTATGCTTTTACACTAATACACAATTATTATGTACTCACATTTTTAAAGGTGGATTCGATATTGGAACCATGTTCAGCGCCCAGAATCGATGTGCTACCCAGGGGCCAGAGCATGAAGGGCCTTCAGCAGGCCGTCGAGTAGCGGGACCCTGGCTACAATTGTGCCATAAAGGGTACCATGCCGCTCGTGTCGTAGCTGGCGAACCATCGACTAAATCTCTTAGATGTAGCCCGCCAGCGTTGTGCTACCTGGGTAGTACTTTTGGAACAGTACTTGATATTTTCTCCACAAGGGAAGACAGTTCTCCTGTCGGGAAGGAATTCGACTTCCTGGATATTTTCGACCAATGTGGCAACCCAACCAAACAAGACCCAGGATAATTCTGAGCAGGGTGATGGACACAAGAACGTATGCCAGGTCATATTACCCCATATGAGACCACGACGTCCTGTTTTCGAAGATGAATCCAAATCATGATCACTGCCGAAGGATGCGTAGAGTGAGGGTAGCCTAATGAGAAATCGCGGTAATCGCATCGGTGTCCTGCTTCCGGGGGAACAGGATGCGTCTTTCTCATCTCGGCATTAGGTTCGCATTGTCCTTGGATGGGGGGATCTTAAAAAAACGGATTCGGAGGATAGAGATCGTGTCCAGATTATATTCAAACAATGCTTCAGTCATGAAACAGCGCATGAGCACGAATTAAACAGATTGTTGAGACCTTAAATGTTGCTTCAACATTTGCTTATTGATATTGAACCATTGTGGATTCAATATTTCTTCAAAGTTGAAGAAAATGAATTTTCAATATGGAGTCAACGTCGACAAGCAAATGTTGAACCAACGTTGCAATGTTGGTTTTGAACATTGAATCAATGTTGATATACCGTTGAATGTCAACGTTGAATCAATTGTTGATTCAACGTGAGTGTGCTACTTGGGAAGCTTATTGATAATTTTTCAAAGACCTCAGAGAAAGCAAGAAGCAAGAAATGACTAATGTCAACTTTGTTGCAGATCCGAATGAGCTCAGCGACTATTACCCCGCTTTGATGGTAAAAGTGTGTCTCAACGGCTTAGGCTGCCACATGTGGATGATAATCAACCATGCATGCGTCTACATTCAAAGGAGATTCAAAACCCTTGTAGCATATAACATTGAAACAACATGGATTCAATGTTGGTTCAACATCCGGATGTTGTATCAACATTGTATCAATGTTGATTCAATGTTATGTTCTTCTAGGGAATCTTGTGTGACGCTTAAAGTTCATGGTCTCCTGCGAACCAGATTGTTTGACTCATCCAGTCAGATACGTAATGAACGAATTCATTCAACTTATTACCATCATTCTTAACCGATGCATTTCGAATCATGCAATTCCCAAAGAATGGATGTTTTTCCGGTCATTTCTAATCCCAAATACATAGAATCCTTAGTCACAACATTGTCAGACAAGTGGGCTTGCAATCGTCATTGTGGAAAGCTATGAACGTTTTAAAAGTAAGATCAGCTGACAAAAGTTGGCTTCATCCCAGCTGATGTTCTTAGATCCCCTATAAAAAAGTCAACAAGAGAACAAGCACAAAATGCCATTGAATCTACTTTTCACTCTGCAATTATGTGGTTGCCTCGAGTTACGCAAATAAACTTGCAGAAGAAAGGTTTCGCACTCCTTCGATGGGGTCGGATTCAACAGTCTTCCGAGAACATACTTTTTCCACATTGGGGAAAGTACTCAGAGGAACTGAAGTAGAACATCAACTTGTTATGACAGGTTTTCGTACTGGCCTAACTTCAAGACTCACCCATACATGTGTCTCTATGTGCATGCAGACAAAAGGCAGCTGTCTGATAGATTAGATGAGGATAGATCGAATTTAAACAATCGGTCCCCCATTCTCTCTTTGACCTTCCGAATTCTTTCAAATAGTAGATGACCCTGGTTTTTTAGATTTCCTTCGTCATAGGCTGGACTCATAGCTAAGTGTGAATGGTCGGAGTATTATGCGATATTACGGTGATACGGAAAACTTCGAGCGATTTTTCAAGAGCTGGATTTGGATGAAGTGTGTGAAAGCAATGAAACCAATATATTTGGATCAATTCTTTTTAAAGCGTAGCGATTTGAGGAGCTCAGATTCATCCATGGTACTCAGATATTCTTATATGCACAAAACATAGAGAGGAAGAGTGAATGACGGGAGGAAAAAAGAGGAAATATTATGTCCTTCCTCACCTGTGCTTGTTGGCGATCCTTTACTTTCCCGATCCATAACCCACAATAGAGGTGATGTATGTTCACTCCACTTCATTTCTACTTTCCCCCCGAAGGTAAGTTCCTTTTCGGGGTGGGCTGAGATTTTTTCATCGGCTTTCCCATATACCTCAGGGAGTTTTCCAAATGGCATCTTTAATTCCCCTAGAGACACAGGAAGAGGCAGGAGAGGAACTGGCTAAATAACAATTATCATGATAGGTTCGGCAAATAGGTCCACTTAACCTAAAAAAAAAGTAAGAGATTAAAAATCATTTAGCAGTAGTTTTCACCAGACAGAAACGGGAATAGTCCTGATTGCTATCAGGGTGTCCCATATGTTTTTTGAGTTTTCCATTTTTCTACATATTCTTATCCTCTGACACCAACAATCAACATGAATCATCAATATAGTCGCCATCGTGTTCCACCACGTCTCTCCATCTTCCATGCAGAGAATGAATCCCATCATGGTAGAACTGCGCCTCTTTGGAGGCGAAGAACACG